GAGAGAGAGAGAGAGAGAGAGAGAGAGAGAGAGAGAGAGAGAGAGAGAGAGAGAACTTGCTTTGAGTCCTAATAAATGATCGGTTTCATAGAAAGTTCTATTGGTTGCTGAGAAAAATGTTCATTCTGTAGTATTTGGATGAAATATTAATTCAACCTATGTTGTCAATTAGGCAGTTTTATTGTTTTGCCCAGAAGACCTGTCAATTGGTGAGAGCCATGTGTTGAAGTTACTCCACAGGACTGAGCTGCAGGTAATCTGTGTCTTTGCCTCTAGTAGTATTTCTTCTATGAAAATGGATGCACTTATACTTAAAGAATATATATTGTGTAGTAGTAGCCTCTTTATTTTTTCTCACCAATTTTTGTTTGAAGTCTATTTTGTCAGGTATTAGATTGGTGATGCCTACTTGTTTCCTAGATTCAGCTGCTTTTCACCCTAAATTAAGGTCTGTCTTTTGTGGTGAGGAGCATTTCTTGGAAACAGCAAATAGATTCTACTTTTTTCATCCAACCTATGGGTCTGTGTCTTTTCACAGGGAAATCAAGACCATTGATATTCAGTTGTTGAAAATTTTATATTGATTCCTATTATTTTGTTGATTTTTTTTTATAATGTTTGGATTTTTCCCCTCTTCATCTCTTACTTAAATATTCTAGTATGTTTTATTTGCTCCTGTGGCTTTATGTATCTTTTGTAGAGCTGGTTTAGTGGCCATAAATTCCATTAGTTTAGTTTCATCACGGAAAACTTGTATTTTTCCTTAAGTTTTGACAGAGAGCTTTGCTATTCTGGGTTGGCAGTTGCTATCTTTTTGAACCTGAACTAAACTTTCCTACTTCCTTCTGGCTTTTCAGGTTTTACTTGAATAATTTGCTGTTATGCTGATAGGCATGCCTTCATTTGTGACTTGATGTTTCTTTTTTGCTGCTTTCTTTGTTCTGTATATTTAGTGTTTTCATTATGATAGAGGAGGTTCTTTTTTGGTCTTTTATGTTAGGGGTCCTAAATTTCTTTTGTATCTGGATAGGCATCTCTTTTCCTAACTCTCAGAATTTTTGTTACAATCCTTTTGACAATATTTTCTAGGCCTTTCAAATGAGAGTCTTTTATGCCTACAACCCATAAATTTGATCTTTTCAAGGTCTTTTATGTATCTTGAAATTCTCACTGATATCTTATTACTTTATCTTTTTGGATTATTTTTGTTCCTCCATCTTGTCTTCAATCTCAGATATTCTTTTCTCCCTTTGGTCTATTCTATTGCTGACATTGTCCCCAGATTTTTAAAATTTGAGTTACTGCCTGTTTTTAAATTTTATTTTTGATACTTCAGGTTGGTCTTTCTATAGCATTTTATCTTTTGCTAAATTCTCTTTCGTATCACTATCCTTATTTCATTCAGCCATTCCTTTGTGTCTTCAAATGTTGCTGGATCCTAATAGCTTCCTTGGGGAGGGGGTGAGAAGGCATGATGTCAATGACATAGACACCAGGAGTCAGTTGAAGGCAAACAGCAGACTCCTTATATACCCTTCTCCAAGTACCCAGGCTCTGTCCCAATCTGGTGGCATTGTGTAGTCATCTCTCATTGGCTGGGCACAATCAAGAATTCTGACAGCGCCTGTTGCTATAACCTCAGGCAGACTCCAGGCTGGTTCATAAGGAAATAATGTTATGTGCATGCCTTGGCAACTGGTTTGAGCCAATTTCCTTGATCCTATGGACCTGTCCTACTACATTCAAACACACTTGAAATCATTAGTTTGCATTCTCTTGGATTTCATCTATCTCTGTCTCATTATTTGCCAATTTTGTAGGATTAATAATTAATTTTTGCCTTTGCTTTTTTAAATGTTTTTTTTTTATTTTATGTGTATTGGTGTTCTGCCTATATGTATGTCTGTGTGAGGGTGCCAGATCCCCAGGAACTGGAGATACAAATACTTGTGAACTACTGTGTGGTTGCTGAGAATTGAACCTAGGTCCTCTGGAATAGCAGTCAGTGCTCTTAACCACTGAGCCATCTCTCCAGCCCCACTGAGGTACTATTTTCAAAAGATATTATAGAGAGTAATCAGATTGTAGTTAATAAAATTAGAAGTGGAATAGAACAGAGTAGATAAAGATAAAGATTAAATATTAGACTGACTTTTTGCCAGGAGGTGGTGGCACACGCCTTTAATCCTAGCACTCAGGGTGCAGAGGCAGGTGGATCTCAGTGAGTTCTAGGCCAGCCAGATCTACAAAGGGAGTTCCAGGATCACCAGGACTGTTACACAGAGAAAGTCTGTCTCTAAAAACACTGAGAGAATGAGAGAGAGGAGAAAGAGAGAGAGAGAGAGAGAGAGAGAGAGAGAGAGAGAATATTTTGATATGGCTGAAGCATAAAGTACAGAATGCCTTCTAGTAAATTGATTGGAGAAAAGTAAGTCCTAAAACCTTACTGAGCACTATATAAACAAAAGCTAAAGAACATCATGAGACATCTACTCAAGAGTTCAGATAAAATAACGGAAAATAGATTAAAAGAACACGTACAGCACAAATTTCTGGATCAGCTGTGCAGAGATGAAAGGTGACGTTCTCTAGTCCTCGGTTCAGTCTTGTGTAGGCCCTATGCAGGCAGTCACAACTGTTGTGAGTTCCTGAGTCCCGGAGCCGTGTCAAGCATATAAGATAGGCTTCCATAGCATTCTGTCTTCCACAATGTTTCCCAAGCCGTGTGTGTGTGTGTGTGTGTGTGTGTGTGTGTGTGTGTGTGTGTGTGTAGAATGGACATCTTTAAGGCTTAATGCTCAGCATTCTCTTGTTCTCAGCACTTTGAAAAGCATGAGTCTTTGCCACAGAAGAATGCTCCTTATTATTGGCTTGCTTATCATGGCTTGCTCACCCTGCTTTCTTATATAACCCAGTCAGAATGGCTATTATTAAGGGGAAATAATAATGCTGGTGGCGAAGATGTGGGAAAAAGGAACTGCTTATCCCTTTGGTGGGATTTTATATCAGTTCTGTCACTATGGAATTGTGAAGGTTTCTCAAAAAACTAAAATCAGGACTTCCATATGCTCCAGGTATACCATAACCCACCAGGCTGGGGTGGCCATATGCTCCATGTTTAACATAACCCACCTGGCCAGGGGTGGCACAGCCCTTAGCGAGGGGAACCTTCCACATCAATCATCAATCAAGCAAGTCTCTGTACACGCAGATTCTCCCTTCTTCCCCTCTTCACCATGTTCCCTCAGAGACCTTGAGTGACTTTTGATCAGGCTTGGGAAAAGGGAGAACAGTGGCTTGGTATGATAAGTGATGCGTATGACATCGTTTATGTCCTGCAGTCACCGGGCAGTTTCTAAGCACTAAGTAAGACTGCTAAGGTTTTCAATCAGGACAATTTTTTTTTTTTTTTCGAGACAGGGTTTCTCTGTGTAGCTTTGTGCCTTTCCTGGAACTCGCTTTGGAGACCAGGCTGGCCTCGAACTCACGGAGATCCGCCTGCCTCTGTCTCCCGAGTGCTGGGATTAAAGGCGTGCACCACCACTGCCCGGCAAGGACTGACTATTTTTAACATGCCAATTTCTAGTTTTAAATTCCAGTCAACGCAGAGGGTCACAGATCTGTCTAGTCTTAGCCTATTTGGTTCTCAGTGTGACAAGATGGCACCAAGGTTCCTTTCACCTCAGTTTCTCCATGTGCTCCCAGAGCAACAGCACCACCTATGGGCCTAGGGCACACCGGCCCATTACTTCTGCTTTCTTCATGGATTCTCTCTTAGCAACATTTGGTGTCTATCTCGGAGCTGAGGGGAGGTAAAAAGGCGATCCCGAAGACATTGCTCGATACCCACAGTTACAACTTGTGTGGTGAGACTTATTGGCTCTCCTTTCTTGGTTTGAGACCACACATTCCTTCCTCCATTTCTTTACTTTGCTATTTTGGACCTACACACCTGAGGGTAATTCCCCTCCTATATCCATGCTAACCTAACTCAAATGTTTACTTAGTGACCTTACCAAGATGGCAACAGCCATGTGGCTTGACTTCTTCTGTCTTGGAGAGTGACATCATTAAGATGCCGACAGCATGTTACTTCACTGCCACCTTGGTTAATGGAGCTGCACATATCCCAGTCCTCTTCTCACATTCCCTCACCTTCTTTTGCCTTTTACCATCCTGGATGTCTAATGAGATCATGGAAATAGGAAGTCCACAGACTGCAATGTGGCCTCTATTGCCAAGTGATAAAGCCAAAGTGTTTTTATATCAGAGTAGGGAGGTATATCAGATATATATATTCATTTTTAAATAAAAATTTTGACACATATATTTACTGGTTTCTAGAGGAGACTCATGAGTTTTTCTTGCCCTGTGCCCTCAGCACAAGCTGGTTACCAAAGGGAGCTGACACTTGGAAATGACCTACTTGGAAGGTGTGAATTTGCAGCCAGCCGCCCAGGGGAAAGCTTGGGAGAGCATGTATCTCAGCTGAAACAGCAGGTAGTTAAGGAGTGGGAT